AACAGCTGCCAAGAAAACAGAGGTTGAGCCTGGTGTGATCTGGCAAGCATCAGAATGTTTTCTTGTTCACAAGATCTCCGCTTCCTAATCTAGACCACTCTCTCCTGGATTCCTCTGCTAAAACACAAATACTCTTAAAGAAGCAGTGCCTTCAGCTATTATCAGCTATTAGTATTAGATCGAAATTGCTGATATTCAAATCTTTGCTGATATTTAAAGCTACAGATGTGTCAGTTTTATTTGATTTAACACCATATCTTATTAGGGATAGCTCATCAGACAGCTTGTTATGGAACTGAGGAGAGAGAGGACAAGAAATCTTTGAGACAGCAAAAGATCTGGAGTATGAAGTATTGCCTCGAGTCAGCCATGTTATCAGGGCCTGATAACACCTCCCTCACTCTGGACCAGGGATTTTCAACCAGTGTGCTGCACGAATTTTTAAAACATGCAATGCCAGACCATTTAGTCAGGGGCACTGACCTTTTTTCCCCTTAGATTGTAAAATTAAAAAAAATGACAACAGGCAACACAATAGCTGTCCAGTGTGAATGAATCAATATTATATATTTGTTGTCAGATTGGCAAAAAGTATATTTTTTGGTGTGCTACAGAATTTTAGTAATTAGTTTATGTGTGCCATGAGATGAAAATGGTTGAAAATCACTACTTTAGACATAGTAATTCTGTTATTGTTCCCAAGATTACATTCAACTGTTCTGGTGGCCATTTATTGCACTCAGGTGAGGCTCAATGCAGATAAAATCCCCCAAACTTTTTCACTTAAGTTAATTCTAAACCATGTTTTCTATGACTTGCCTTTGAAAATTGCTTTTTAGCATCTATTTAGTCTAGGATTTAATGTTAATCTCTGTAAAAATTCAACCAACCACTGGTTTCTTTAATTATCTTCCACATTAAGATATTTCACAGTAGCATAGGCAGCAGTTTTTTCCCCCAAATCTCTCAAATTTCACACAATGAAACATGCCCATCTTTTTCTGAACCATCTCTCTCTCTATATATATGAGGCCTGGTGCACAAAAATTTGTGCACTCGTGGGTCCCTCAGCCCGGCCTATGCCCTCTTGCAGTGTGGGACCCCTCGGAGGATGTCCACCCCAGTGGGGACCCTCACCTCATGGAGGTTTGGCCAGCCTGGGTGAGGGGCTGATGGCTGTTTTCAGGCTGGCCACACCCCCTTTAGGGTGGGGGGTCCCCAATGGGGTGTCTGGCCAGTCTAGGTGAGGGGCTGAGGGCCATTTTCAGGCTGGCCAAGCACCCTGGCAAAGTAAGCTCCCAGCCTCTCCTTTTTTTCTTTTTATTTATTCTGGGATTTATTTACCTTCTATAATTGAAACTTTGTTGCCTTTAGTGGAGGCCTTTGGAAAGCTTGGCTTCCTCCATTGCCAGGGGCAACCCACTCCTGCTTGCTCCAGCTCCATGGCCACGGCTGGCTGAAAGCAGGTATCTGGGGTTTGTTTACCTTCTATAATTGAAACTTTGTTGCTTTCAGTGGAGCTCAGAGACAGGCACCAGGCGGAGAAGCTTGGCTTCCTCCATCACTGGAGCAAGCAAGCCTCCTGCTCGCTCCAGCTCTGTGGCTGCTGGCCGCCATCTTGGTTGGGTTAATTTGCATATAATCGCTCTGATTGGTTGGTGGGCATGGCTTAAGGCGTAGCGAAAGTATGGTCAATTTGCATGTTTGTCTTTTATTAGCATAGGCTATGTCTTTCTCAAGTCCATGGTATAGATTTGAGCATCCCCAACATTCTCTTCTTGCTTATAAGAAACATCTTTATTTTTGTGCTTCAGTTTTAAAATGAGGAACTTACAACTACATGGCCCACAAGTTCTCATAAAGCACTATTTTCTATGACTCTATTATCTATAGGAAATTGCACAGATGAGCAACAATTGGAGAATTTGTGAAGCATCGCTTTCCCAAGCATACACACCTATGAGGAGGATCAGATAAGGGCCCCAGGAATGCAACTCTGGAGGAGCCAGAGGCAAATTTATAATAAAACCAGAAATTCTCATCATTTTTGAGTCTCGTTAGTTAACAGCCCTTGGAGGTACATACATGGGTAATTGAGGGCAGCATGAAAGTTGGTCTAGAAAGTTGGGGTCTTATTATATAGCATTTGGTAATCTTCTTCTCTCTTGACCCCAGTTACAAACAGATAAAAGGAGATAAAAGCATTGGAAGCCAGATGAGGGAAGTTGCACTCAGAATATACATCTACTATTTTATGTGTTCAGCACTCTACTTTTCTATCTACATGGTTTCTGCTGGAGCTGCCATGTTTATTCACTCATTTACTCAACAACTATTTATTGAGTGCTATATCTGACACTATTCCAGGCCCTGGAGCTACAGCAATGGAAAAAGCATACACAAATTCCTCATAGAGCTTACATTCTGATGGAGGAAATAATACATTAAACAGGATAAGTAAATATTTGGTCTGTCAGATGACATGTGCTATGGGGGGGGGGGGGGGGGTGGAACCAAGCCGGAAAGTGGTTGAGGGATAAAATGAATGAAGCACAATGTTTTGTAGGTGGCCAGGAGTGTCTTCATCTTGAATATTTTTGGAACTGGGTCAAAACAGGATGGTTTAAACCAAGAATGTGGAATGAGGAGTGGGGGGGGGGGGGGCAAGGGAGAGAGAAAGCCTATTAGAATCAAAAGAGAATAATGAAGACATAAGAGGGTAGCATAAAAGGAAGATGTGGAGGGAGAGAGAACTTCCCAGAGTCTGCATAATATTCCAATATACTTCTGATAAATCCTTTTAAAAACATCCTTCTGATAAAATCCTAAGCTGGTATGAATCAATTTCTGTTACTCCCAAACAAAGAATTCTAACTCATACACATATTAAGTAAGATAACCTATAAATTCAAGGCTTGCCCAATGTAGATGTGGGTTACTTCAGAAAATTAGAACCTGGTGCTTTTGATGCCAAGAATACAGACCTGACAGCAGAGTAGAATTAATTTTGCTGTTCAGAAATAAATGTTGCTGTTCAGAAATAAATTCTGCTGTTCTAGCATCCCAGAAATAAAATGTGCAAGAAATATCCGTTTCTCTTTTTTCCTTTTAATCAAATTAGCTCTGATTCTGCATTGAACTCGTGGAACATTCAAATGGAAGTATTATTTCATCACCCCTACTTCTGCCCTCCCTTACTCCCCACACCCGGAGTCACGACTGCATTAGGGGAGCTTACTGATGTCTAGACACTGGGTAAAGGCTCTGTAATCTCCACGTCATCATTGCTCAAGTCTGCTTTAAACTTCCTCGTGCAGCCCCTGGCTCTCTGCTTCTAAGCCAAGGGGAGAAATCTTTGCTGAAGCTAGAGGGTGCTTGCTCCCTAGGGGGCAGCCATCCCATCTGAAGTCACGCCCCCTTCCTGGAAACTCTTGAAGTTGGCTCAGGTATCCACTAACCCTGGGACCTGAAGATCTTTCACTTTCTCTGTCCTTGTTCTTGAAATAATTCTCTTCTCTTCTGGCCTCTCCCCACTGCCCCTTGGCCCAGGCATAATGTTTTCGCTTAGCGTAGGCTTTTATAATAGACCACAAGAGTGAGTGACTCCCTTTTAGGAATTTCAGCTTCTTTCCACCCTGCAAAAACTCCCCAGAGATTTTTTTTTTCCCCCGGCCTTTCTTTTTTGTGGTATGATTTGCATAACATAAAATTGTCCCATTTTAGTGTACGGTTTCGTGGCTTTAAGTACATTTGCATTGTTGCGCACCCCAACGGTTTAATGGGAGGTCTGATTGAAATGGGGGGATGGTGAAAACAGAGGAAGAAACAGTTTTTAAAATATTATTCTTTCATGTCTTTGTGGCACTTCAAATGGAGCCCCCTAACAGGTGAATCTGAGAAGCTAAGAGGCATCCTTAGGATGTTAGATATTAATAATGTGCAAGAGGGGGAGGGGGAGGAGGGGCGCCCGTAAGGAAACTTGGGGAAACAACGAAGGAAAATCTTATCTGCCTGACATCACTCACAATATGACTTAATGCATCTGGAGCAGAAGTAAAAGGAAGAACTGTTCTCTGCTCTGCCCTGGGCCAGGACCAGAACCATGTCCCTGAATTGGGTTGGGGAGCGCCTATCTCCCAGAGGCCTCAGACGGAAAGGAAAGTTCCATTTTACGAACCACAATAAAGCCGTTTGATACCTAAGCAGCGTGTCACAAAGGGATGCAATCCACAGAAGACTTAGAATTTAAAATCTTGGAATTATTAAGAATTACACTTAATGACTTGTAGGCGTTGGGGGGGAGCGGGTGGAGTGTGCCTGAGGGGTGTCAAAATAGCCCACGTGATTTAGCTCGGGCTGGGCCGAGGCGTTTCTTTCGGGGGTTGGAAGACTCTGTATCCATTTACTCGTTTCCAAATAATTCCTCACGTGCCTGCCGTGTGTGAGGCACCGAGGAACCATATGGCAGGGAACAGGTGAGTAGGTTCGTTCCTCTAATAGAGTTCACATTCAGGTGTATTTTAATTCTAAAGCCGCGAATCCAAGCGCACAATAAACTGAATGAAGCAGTGAACCTAGGGAGCCACGGTTTTTCACAAGCCGCAGCAAAAGTCAGAATTTTAAGTTTTCTATTCTTGGGTGCTGGGTCTTAGTTAAGGGCAACTGGCAGGTGGGATGTGAAGACATTTCCCGCCGAAAATATACACAGACTTGGTGTTTGGGTTCGACAGCTTAGCTCTTGCGATTAAAAATGACACCTACGGCACCGCACTAACATTCTCTAAGAAGCAAACGAGATTATAGGAGAAAAACCACTTACTCCATCACAGCCCTCGGAAGGCACAGCCGCCTCTCAGCCAGCGCAGGAAGGCCATGGACTACAATTCCCAGAAGCCCTTGCGACCCACCCATTCGGCAGCACAGCTTCGGAGTCGGGCGCGCTCCTTGTTGCGTCATCCGGGTGCGACTGCAGATACAAAACAGACCAGGGCTACAAAAGCATGGCCTCTGCTGAGGCGGCGGCGTGGTCATCGTCGTCGTCTTTGGAAACAGACTCAGCCCCAGTCCCTGAAACTGCAGGAACCGCTGCAGCCGCGGCGGTCGCGGCCGCGGCCAGGATGGGACCCGGAGCCAGGGTCTCCAAGGCCGCTTTGGCCACGAAGCTGCTGTCCCTGAGCGGCGTGTTCGCCGTGCACAAGCCCAAAGGGCCCACTTCAGCCGAGCTGCTGAATCGGCTGAAGGAGAAGCTGCTGGCAGGTACTGCAGCCCGGGTGGGGGCCAGGCGGAGAGCGGGAGCCACAGAGAGCACCCTGGCGTCTTGCGCGCTCAAGGCTCAAGAGATGAAAGGAAAGGGAGAAGGTTCGCTGCGTTAGATCTGGACAGACATCTGGGGCATCTCGGGCTTGCACTCGAACGCCTGTAGCCTAGTTGGCAGTTGTCTCTCTCAAGGGAACGAAACACAACACAACAAAGCCCACGCGTACACAAACACCCCGGCACGTGGCCATGCAGACCCCTTCGCTGTAGTCTGACCCTGGGGGAGCCTTCGGGTCACGTCGGTGGACGCCACCCAAAGGAAGCACTGACTCCATACCTCCCAAGTTGCGTTGAAGATAATGTTGGAAATGCAGACACGTGTTACTTTTGTTAACCAAGGTTTAATGCAGGGGTTTTCACATAGCGGGCAGAAGAAGTACTTAGAATCCCTTGTACAAGTACAGATTCCTAATCCCTGCCCTCCCAGAGCTTGTCATTCTAAGGATTGGGGTATTTTTAGGAAACTGTATTTTTAAACGATTGCTCCAGGTAATTCTGGTGTCAGTAGTCTAGGGGCCACATTTTGGGAACACTAACTATAACTTGGTCACTTCTGTAGGAACATTCTTTTTGTTTGCTTTGTCATATGCGCATTTGAAAAGCCTAAAGGTTCTCTCAGTTCATCTGCCTAGTAGTTCATTTCAAACAGTGGCATCAAGGAACCTTAGCTGTTTATTGGACACCTTCAATAAACCCGATCTGTGTTAGCCTCTAGGGATGTGAAGATGAAAGTTACTGTCATCCCTTAACTGAGCTGGTAGCCTCGTAACTTCTGCAGCCTTTGGTGGTAAAACGATTTCGCTAGATATGTGAGGCCCTCCAGACTTTGGTCCTGGCTTGTCTTTTCATTCAACCAGTGCAGGAACTAACTGTCTTACATCGTTTCGTATCCCCTGACAAACTTCACGCTTTCGTTTAAATGCAAAAACAAATTATCCTGCTAAGAATTGTTCATTGAAACATACACTTACAGATTTAAATGTTTATTGGCAATAGGTACCCTCTTGCAGATGTTTAATTCCAGTTTTATATCGACTCCTTCTTTTGTTAAACTGTCCTTATACTTTTGTTACCTGTAGGGATGGGTGACAAAGGAGATGTTGAAAGAAGGAATTGCATCAAGGGCAAGCTTTGTGGAGTTGTTTCCTTTCAGCAGAATTGCTGCATTCATTTGGCCCGACTTGTTAGCTAAACTTGAAGGCTTTTTTTGACCCTCAAGGTAATGAATACCATTCTTTTTCTTTGACAGAATTCTGATAGGATCAAAGCCGTATCCTGGCTTTCTGGTTAATCTGCCTCCAAGAACTGAAGTCTCTTCTTGAAACATGGTTAAAACTGATGTGTCAGGGCATTGCTGGATGTGTCAGTGGCTTCTGCCGGAAGCTACTCACTCAGATACAGACATTCTCATTGCTACTCTCCATTTCTGTATTGCTTGTGATTGGCCTATTCTGTATTTATATTAGCTAGACCAAGGCTTCCCCAAAGCACTTCTGACTGGCTGTTGTAATTACCTGGGACGGTTCTTAAAGAGACAGATTTCAGGGCACCATAATCTAATGCCAGCCGGTTTGACAACCCCAATCAGTGATCATGACCTCTGTGTATTAGCATTCCTTGCCATTCCTTACATTGATTCATGTCACCCTAAAATCCCTGCTCTTCTTTGTCTGTTTGACTCTTTCAAGGCCTGCACATCACAATTTTAGGCTAGAAAAGACCGTACTAAATATTCATCCATGCATGGTAGCAGTGGGGTGAACCAAACTCCAGTATAGTAGAGTGGTATGTCTTCAAACTTGAAAGGTGAATTTGGACACAAAAGGAAGACAGTAAATTTATAGGCCTTTCTACTCCAAGGACAGTCAAGCTGAAAAGAGAAAGAGTTCCCCAAAAGGCTTCTATAAACTCATGGATGAGAGATCCCTAACAGGTTGTAGTGAAAGGAGAAGAGTCGGAAGCCTAGGTCAGGCCTTACAGGTTTATATGAAAGCAGACAGCCATGCCCTTCCAAGCGTGGTGGTGTCGTACTCAGAGAGTGGCACTAAGACTGTGTCCCAGAAGCCATGGTTCTGTCTCAATAGGGTGGTAATTATGTGGTAAGGCTGAGCAACCCAGCACAGTTTTTTTTGGCTTCTCCACTATTGCTTTGTTTTGGCCCTTTTCCTCCCCCCTCCTACCCCTCTATCTTTTTATTTTCTTTTGCCGTGTCTTCTATCTTCTTGGTGTCAGTGGTGATAAGGAAGGTTTGGCTGACTTAGCTGGTGTGGACCAATACAGCTGTTCCTGCTCCTCTCCTTTCCTACTTCAAGTCCAGGAGCCAGTATTCTTTCAATATATTCTTATATGCCATGATAATAACAACCACCTACAGGTAGAGTGCTTTGCCATTTCCAAAGCACTTTTCAGATAACATTATTTCAGTTTATCTTTACAAGAGAATATGAGATAGACCAGGTGGGCATCCTCTTTTTTGTTGTTGTTGCTCTTTTTATTTATTTTTCTTTTGGAATCTTTTTTTTAAAAAAATATTTTTATTGATTTTTTTTTTTTTTTTTTTTTAGATAGAGAGGAAGGAAGAAGGAGAGAGAGAGAGAGAGGAGAGAGAGAGAAGAGAGAGAGAGAGAGAGAGAGAGAGAGAGAGAAACATTGGTCAGCTGCCTCCTGTATGCCCCCCACCTGGAATTGAATCCTGGGGAACTGGCCTCCTTTTGGTACATGGCATAACGCCCAACCAACTGAACTACATCTGCCAGGACTACCCACTTTTAAAAAATATTAATTTTTTCCTGATGAGAAAATGAATCCCAGTTTCTAGATCACTGATTTGGGAATACCATAATTTCTGTAATTTAGGGAGTATCTATACATATTTAAATCTGATTTTTTTGCTAGTAATGTTGTCATAATCTAAATATGTTAACTTTACAAAACACTTTTTATTTGTTTTAAATACTCCTACCCTCACCCTCCCATGTTTGTGAAGACGCGGCTTCATCTGCTTTGGTCTTTCTTCCCATTTACTCTCCTAGAAGCTGGAATGCCTTCTGCAGAATTAACCAAGAGGAAAAGGCAGACCTTGAAAATCGGGCACGGAGGGACTCTCGACAGTGCAGCCAGAGGAGTTCTGGGTAAGAGATGTGAATGGAAGTTTAATATAACTGTCACTCAGTAAGAAGTACATATTGACTGAGAACAGATAAGATAGAGATAAGACAAAGCCATGCCATTTTCAGTCCCTTTTGGCATATTTCAGATCGACTGGCCTTCCCAGATTCAGCTGAAATGCTGCCTCCCACATGGGAAGCCTGCCCACTTGCTTCTCTGTGCTGCTGACGTAAAACTTCATTCTGGTCTTTGTTTCTGTTAACTCCCTGGGCTGAGAACAGGTCTTTTTATTTCTGTACCTACACAACAGACACCACAGAAATCAGAATATGATTTTTTTGATCGATTGGATGGGGGAAAGTTGAGTACAATTTTTGTCCAGGAAACTGTCCCTTGAATGAAAGCTGCATGGTTGGCTGAGGTTTCAACTCCAGGTAATTTTTCTACATACCACTTCTGGATTAACCTTCCTAACATTCTACTTTCACCGGTCACCGGACTTCTACGGGCCTTGGTTTACTTGGGTACAAAATGAGAGGGTTAAGCTGGGTAACTCTAAGATGCCTTCTCGTTTCACATGTCTTTATTCTGGATGACTGACCTAGTGGGGAAATCAGTTCGGCCTTTCAGCCAGGCCAAAACCTAACATGCAGCCTGCTCCCAAGACCCCCTGCACTCTGACTGATAAACCCACTGTGCCCGTCCTTGCATTTTTAGAGTCTGCTCCTCTCTTCTCTGTGTTCAAATCCTGTACCTCCCTGTTTGAAATGCTTGAATGAAGTGTTCTCTGGCCCTGTCAGCCATTTACAGTGCAACTTCCTTTACCTCCTACAGCAGTGGTTCTCTCTGTGTTCATTTTGACATCTTATCTAATAATAGACAAACATGTAAATTAACCATCCCTCCACTACGCTCACCAGCCAATCAGGAGAGTATGCAAATTAACCCAACAAAGATGGTGGTTAATTTGCTTATGTAGGGGCAAAGCAGCGGAGCAAAGACTGAAGGCTCCATTGGGAGCCGCGAAGACTGAAGGCTCCGTCTGGAGTGAAGGCCTGGGTCCTGGGTGCCGGAGGAAAGCTGGTGCCAGCAGCCAGGGGAAGGGAAGGCCTATTGCACAAATCTCTTCATGCAACGGGCCTCTAGTTTAATCATATTCTGTGATATTGTTATTTAGTGTCATTCACTCATTAATTCAGGCAACTTTTTTCGGGGGGCACTTGTGAATTCCCTTGTCTGCGTTTTATTTTCCCAATAAGATTATAAGCTTTTTCAAAGTCCGAAAATGTGCTATTCCATTTGAAGTCTTCTTCTTGGGACCGTGCGCATAGTAGCTGCTTAAGAAATACTGTTTGGAGAGTCTTGACTGGAACAAATTGCATTGAGTCTTTGTTATTATTATACAAAGTTTTTGCCTCAGCAGGAGCAGCTACCATCTGAAGAGTGCTATGTTCCTCAGAGCATATCGGAGGCAGACAGTTGTTATCTTAGTCCTGAAACTAATATTGCTCTTATCATGGATGCTTAAAGGGGGTTGAGATAGACTTTATGGAGGAGTTGGGATTTGAGCTAGGTTCCCAAGTGGACTTTGAATATTTGGCTTAGGAGTTGGTACTGTAGGCTTTGGGACCCTATTGAGGATTGTTGGGGTAGGGGGAGGCTTTGTAGTGTACAATATAGGTTTTCAGAAATGGCAGGAATAGGTAGAGGAATAGGTAAGATGTAGGAGTCAGGTTTGCAGTGGTTTAGGCCAGTGGTTGGCAAACTGCGGCTCGCGAGCCACATGTGGCTCTTTGGCCCCTTGAGTGTGGCTCTTCCACAAAATACCACGTACGGGCGCACACGTACAGTGCGATTGAAACTTCGTGGCCCATGCACAGAAGTCGGTTTTCGGCCTGGGCGAGTCTATTTTGAAGAAGTCGCATTAGAAGAAGTTGGGGTACTTTCGCTGAGGTCGACCCCTCAGATTGAGGACGTTTTTAGCAAAGGCCAGTTTAGGAGTACCCTAATTAAGTTAATAACAATGTACCTACCTATATAGTTTAAGTTTAAAAAATTTGGCTCTCAAAAGAAATTTCAATCATTGTACTGTTGATATTTGGCTCTGTTGACTAATGAGTTTGCTGACCACTGGTTTAGGCAGATTTAGGCTGGTGGCAGGCAGTGGGAAGAAAGCCTGGATGAGGAAGGTGGGAGGGAGGATGAAAAGGAATAGCTCTGCTCTTAGCCAGCCTGGTTTGAATTTTAACTCCATCTCATTCTAGTTGTGAGATACCGGGCAAGGTTCTTAGTCTATATTTCAACTTCCTTATTTATAAAACAGGGACAGTTGCGTTACCTTTTAGGGTTGTTATAAGGATTAAATGAGCTAATGAATGGAAAACATTTAAAGTGGAATTTGATAAATGGTGAACTCAACGAGTGGTATGCTATAAATATTCATGATAACTCAGCTTGCCGATAATTTCTCCTTATTACTTCTTGTTATTCTGAATTGTGGTGGTTATATTGTGCTCTTTTACAAAATTGTATCCATTGATGAGAAATATTTCAATTTTTATGAACATTTGCTCACTGTTCAGTGAAGAAATGATTATATCCTGTGATGCTCGACTAGTGAAATGTGTTATCATGTGGATAAATAATGTTTGCCAGTGAAGAGTCAGGTGGGCCATTGTTGTACTTTATGGTCTATGTGAGCATACATTCTCCAGACTCTCATTTACCACGTGTTCTTCTTTGCGTTGGGTTGATTTGTTAATGATTCTGTTTTCTTGATTGTATAAAGCTGGGCAGTAATCATCTTTAAATGGTTCATTAGCTATGATGATAGCTTTTGCTTTGTTTAATAATGAACTCTGTCAAAAGACTATCTTACCATGGCTAATTGTACCATGTATTTTTCACTGATGCCTGTATAAAATTCCAGTGAATCCTTTAAGATTTTTCTAAAACTTGTTATTATGTAAATGACCTGGTTGAGGTTCCTACCATATTTTGCACTTTGAGAAAGAAAAAAACCTCTCTCTCTCTCTCTCTCTCTCTCTCTCTCTCTCTCTCTCCCCCCCCCAACACCCCCCCCCCCCCCCAACATTCCCTCTTCAGAATTTCTTAGCTGCATGACAAGTTCAATGGGTTGGAGTATTGGAAGTCCTCAATTTATGCTAAATATATGCTCTTCCCGACTTTACATTAAGTATGCCAGGAAGTTATGACCAGGATAGGTAGGTATTTTAAAAACCTACTTTTCATAATAGAGTGTCCTAATATTTCTTTCTTTGATTTGTAGTGATTGGAATTGGAAGGGGAACAAAAATGTTGACCAGTATGTTGTCAGGGTCCAAGGTAAGAATACTAAAATAGTTTTGTTTTTCTTTCTACCTTGAATATTTCCCTCAATGAGCATGTGTTGGATTTTATCGAGTAAAAAATAAACTATACAAATTGCATGAGTGGGTGGCAATCCTGAGTATTCATCGCAGTGTCTACAGTCATACCTGAGAATTAAAAATATCGAGACTACAAATTGGAAATCCAAGATTGAAAAACAAATTTGATTCATAAGAGCAAAAACTCTGCTGTGCCCATATTTTTAAAAAATCATATCTATTTTTTTATATAAGTATATTTCTTAGATGCAAGGGAACTTATAGATCATAAATTCCATTGGCAGATTTAATAAACCTTGGAATTTTTATAGAAACAGTACCATTTTGTAAAAGGTGTACTTTTCAACAAACACATGCTTTGTTCAGTGGTTGCAAATGTTTGCTGAAGAGAAGAATTTGGCTTCTTTAAGATGCTAAGTTACATCATTCACCTGTTAGAGTAGCCTTGACTTTTTTGAGTCTTGAAAGGAGGGAGAGGAGGGACTGTGCAGTATTGGGAGAGGTCTGAAACCTGTGCACTGCGTCAGGCCTTCAGTGAGGAACCCTCAGGAGGAAACAGCGGGGTGAAGGAGAGTGAAACGAGATGTCAAAGTGGTTAACCTTTCTGGGCCTCTCAGGTTTTCCTCGGAAAAATGATTTGATCCTCTCTAGGGCCTCTTCCAGTTCTAAGAGATAATAACCTCTGTATTCGATGAGGTACTAGGGGATACTAGTCGGGGCTAGGGACCAGTGAAAATGCCTGTGGGAGGACAGTTAATAGGCCCTTAGGTGGAGAAGAATTTCAGCAAGTTGCTGGACTAAGGTTTTTGTTTTAAAACCCTTTCTCTGAATGGGATATAAATAGTTGGTAAAGTGATTTTTGTCTAAATTGTTTTGTCTAATTTGTTGGGTTTTTTTTAAAGGTGGTAAAAGACTGTTTAAAATTGTTTTTTAGTTCATTGCATGCCAAAACCGGTTTGGCTCAGAGGATAGAGCGTCGGCCTGCGGACTGAAAGGTCCCAGGTTCGATTCCGGTCAAGGGCATGTACCTGGGTTGCGGGCACATCCCCAGTAAGAGATGTGCAGGAGGCAGCTGATCGATGTTTCTAACTCTCTATCTCTCTCCTTTCCTCTCTGTAAAAAATCAATAAAATATATTTAAAAAATAAAAAAATAAAATTGTTTTTTAGTTCATTGCAGACCGATTGATGACTTTTGTAAAATGTAATTAAAATGTTACAGCATTGTCACATTGCTGAATAAATTTCTAAACGCCTTCATTTTCTGAAATTAATCTTGTCATGGACATTGGATCTTGGACCACACTTTGAGTGGCAATGGTCGAAGTTAGCTTTTCTTAAAATAAAGAGCCCTGGAGAGTGTAATGCCTTTGACATTACATTTTAGTTACCAACTGTCATAAAACCTGTCTCTTTCCGTTGAAATGGATCTTAACGCCTTAGATAAACGGAAGAATTCAGTGTTGCTCGCTCTGCAATCTTGAGAATGTAGGTGTGGAAAAGACACAGAATACAAACATTGTTTTAGAATGCAGGAGTTCGACTGTTTTACAGTAAATATGTACACTGTGCTTTAGTGACACACAGAGCTTAGAATCTGTTTCTAATAAGTGTGTGTGTGTGTGTGTGTGTGTGTGTGTGTTTTGCCAGTCGCTTAATATTTGTTTATTAATATTAACTCTAAAGTATAAGCAATAGTAATTTTGATATAGAATAATGGATGATTTTTATTTTCTTTTTTTGATATGATTTGGTATTTTCCAAAATCTTTACAATAAACAAGTGACTTTTATAATAACAAAAAAAGATATATTTACATTAAGGAATTTGTTTGGGTTTTCCCCAGATAAAATATTTTGAGTTCATTGGAATATTTATTATCCACCCTCAACCACAAGTATGCAAAACACATTATATGTTATGGAAAGGTTTTACATGTAAATTCCAGGCATATTTCCAGAAATATGATGACTGGAAATGTAAATACATTGTTGGCTCTGGTTTAAGCTTTATTTGTCACAACCCATTTTGGTATTGAACAAGGAAAGCTGCATGTCATACAGCGAAGTCACTAATCCTCAGTAATTTAAATGGAAAATCCCAGGTGCCTCTCCTCACAGGAACCTAGTTCTTGGGTGCGTCGCATTTCAAAAGTAGGATTATTGTCTCATTAGCTGTTTGTATTTTTTATACTTTGAGTTTTAGATTATGTATGTGCTGAAATATTAAATCATTCGAATTTTTAACTTTGTTGAAGATTATATTTTTCTCAAAAGCAGTTAAAAACTGTTCATGCATTTTAACAAATAGATTTCGGAAGGAATCTTAGAGATCCTCATATTCAGGGGCTTTCAAAACTTTTTTTTTTAATTTTGTTTTATTGCTTAAAGTATTACAAAGAGTATTATATATGTCTCCTCTTTTTTTCTCTCCTTGACCAAGACCCAGAGTGAGTAAGAAATTCATTTGACATCATGACCTTATATACACATACATGTATAACATTTTTATTAAACAACTTTAACTGGATGTAAGGCTGCTCCCATATCTATGTGGTAGTGGCTGTAGGCAAAGCCAGCATTTCCTCAGGAGGCAGCTTTTATCTCCTCCAGCAGCTGAACAAGTGTGATTGTCGGGGTATACACACTTTTCCACCCTGGATGTGCTCAAGGACAGTAATGTGCCCCAAGTATACAGGAGCATGTTTAGGGTAACCAGCCAGTGTCAACCCTGAACATGACTTGAATAATGCTCCTGTGAAGCCGGCTCTCTAAGATCTAAGCATGCCTCACCACTTAATCAACTTGGTCCAGTTTGTACCTTTTCTTTACCCTCTTGTTAATATGCATGCATTTCATTAGCACTATACTGAAAGTTTTGAAGGGCTTACACTTAGGAACTGTTCAAAAGCACTCCTTTTTTAATGAAGGCATTCAAAGCCACATGTTTTTGGTTTGGTAGTGTTTTTTTAAGTGTTCTTCCTCATTCTAAATAATATCCCTTTGCTTGTGAAACTTTGAATCACAGGCTTTCAAATTCAAACTTCAGAAAAAGCAGTGCCTCGTTGAGATGGAAATAATTATGTACACTCTCTGTAACACAAACATATTCCTTTCTTCTGATGAGTTCAGAAGCCGACTTGCTTTTAAAGTTGTCTAGTGGGGTTCAGGGAGCTGGAGGATGAGTGAAGTAGAGAATAGAGTGATATTAGTATCTGCAAGGAACCATGAATTCCAAAGAGCACACGGCTCAATGGAAACTTTAAAAATTCTACAGGTCCTCCATTTGTTTTATTGTAGTGGAATTATGCTGTAATGAATTCATTCATAGAATTCACACTTTCCAGATATACATCATGGAGCATAAACAACTCTAAAACCCTGTCTCTGTGTAGAAGGCCTTTAGACCCCATAGCACAGAATGGCGGGATTGTGTATACACATTCCCAGATAGTTTTTCTCCTGCCCCATAACTTCTTAGTGGTGAGGCTTTGTTTCAGCTGAAGGCATAACTGTCAGGGTGGGTTTTTCTAAGTCAGTGGTTCTCAACCTTCTGGCCCTTTAAATACAGTTCCTCATGTTGTGACCCAACCATAAAATTATTTTGGTTGCTACTTCATAACTGTAATGTTGCTACCGTTATGAATCATAATGTAAATATCTGATATGCAGGATGGTCTTAGGCGACCCCTGTGAAAGGGTCGGTCGACCGCCAAAGGGGTCGTGACCCACAGGTTGAAAACCGCTGCATAAGAGAATAGCACAAATATGAAATATACTTCCTGATTGCATTGTGTTTTTCTTATTCAACTGGACAGATTATTAAGACAAAAATCAGAAAGCATTGTGTTGCTTTACTGTTTCTTATGGGAACTCACTGTAACCAGATGAGTCACTCTAACCACTGTTATTGTGAATCATTTTACCTTTTCTTTTTTTTTTCTTTTTTAAAATATATTTTATTGATTTTCTACAGAGAGGAAGGGAGAGAGATAGAGAGTTAGAAACATCGATGAGAGAGAAACATCGATCAGCTGCCTCCTGCACATCTCCCACTGGGGATATGCCCGCAACCCAGGTACATGCCCTTGACCGGAATCGAACCTGGGACCCTTCAGTCCGCAGGCCGACGCTCTATCCACTGAGCCAAACCGGTTTCGGCTCTTTTTTTTTAAATATAGTAACAATAATAGTATTTTTTTTTATTGCTTACCAGGTTCTGTTGTTATCCCTATTTTGAGATCATGGGAACGAGGCTGTAATAGGAAAGACTACTTTAGCATACATTATGGATTGTGGTAGAGTGAGGATTCGAATCTTTGAGTCTGTGTTCTTCCCACTCCACCCTACTGTACTTCTCCCTGTTTTATGCTTCATCAAGGTTAATTGTTCCAAAATAGAGAAGCAGAAGTGGGGCATTTCAGCTGATGAGACTGAAGGTTTAGTTACAAGAAACTCATTTTTGTCAAAATTAATAAAAAATTTAAAAGTCAGTTCAAATGCATTAGAACATTCCTTCCGTGTTGTATTTGTAAAAATAAATCTGAACTGTATAATAGAAGATTATTTCATAGAGGGGCACGAGGCTGATATAAACTGTCTGCTTGCTTATGAGGATTTGAAGTTTAATATTTTTTTCATTTGTGTCTGGTCCATTTACTAGCATAATAAGCTTGTTAATAAACTATATTTGAGCTTCCTCTTTTAAAAATTGCTCACATAGCCCTGGCCGGTGTTGCTTAGTTGGTTGGAACATCGGCCTGTACACTGAAAGGTTGCTGGGAGGCAACCAATTGATGTTTCCCTCTCACATTGATGCTTCTCTCTCTCTCTCTCTCTCTCTCTCTCTCTCTCTCTCTCTCTCTCTCCCTCTCCCTCTCTCCCTCCCTCCCTCCCTCCCCCTCTCTCCCTCTCTCTCCCTCCCTCTTTCTCTTCTTCTCATCCTCCCTCCCTCCCTCCTCCCTTCCCCTCTCAAGTCAATAAGCATGTCCTAGGTTGAGGATTTTAAAAAAATAATTGCTCACATAGCTACAGATTTTGCTCAATGGGAATTACCTACCTTGCATTTTTCTCAGTATTCTATGTGATGCTCCAATTAACATTTGAATTTGACCAAATGAGAGACGTATAAAGACTATGTAGTCCAGTGTGCCCTGAAATGAGTAGTAAAACAGTCCTCAGTTAACTAAGAATGATCTAATTCTTTCCTTGTGAATAATGACCATTTCTTAGAAGTGACTTTTGGTAAAATTGTTGACTTCTTGTGATGGATGTACGGGTGTATTATACCATTCTCATTAGTATATATGAAAATTTTCCTTCCCAACCAAAACTAGTTTTAGAAATCTGTGTGCAATAATAGGCCATTTAGTGGCCAGGGAGAGGTCAATGGGGGGGGGGGGGGAGGGGTGACATATGTAATACTTTAAACAATAAAGAACTTAAATTAAAAAAATAGGCCATTTATAAGCCACAGTTATTGATAAAATCAGGTTTTTTTTTGTCATGTTGGCTGGTGTGGGAAGTTTGCTAATGTTCTCCAACTTACACACGTACTTCCCACATATCAGAAACTAACAAAACACTTGCAGTCTATTATTTTTTTGCCTTTATTTTGTATCAAGCTGGTCGTATTAGTAAAATTCTGTATGACTTTCGGGACGTGCATGACAGTTTTCTTTACCGTTGTGGCCTGTGTTTCTCCCTGTGTCTCTTCCTCTAGAGGTATACTGCCATTGGAGAGCTGGGGAAAGCTACCGACACACTGGATTCTACGGGAAAAGTAACAGAAGAAAAACCTTACGGTATGGCGTTCATCTAAAGTACTCTTTTTTAACATCTAGAAAAATTTTTTGTGAATTCAGAATTCTCTAACTTGATACTGCCAGTGATTTTAGTTTCCAGTACATTTTTAAAAAAATGATTGGAAATGGTATATTACATTGTTTATTTGGTATGAGTTTAATAAAGATTTATTATAATTCTTTTTCTATAGTCAGTTTTTATAATGTTCAGAATTCTTGCAAATAATTTCCTTTCTGAAAAACACTTGTTGCCAGGATTTAGGACATTTTTCCTAGTAAATGAGAAACAAAGCAGAGAGATGCTACCGGTGTCTTGCAATTGTCTGTTTTATTTGTTTATTTATTTTACAGTTACTTCTTAGCTGCTGAGATAAATGCACCATGTTTAGTGCTTTAAAACTAGTCATGTCTCTCTGCTTTTGGAGTACATAGAAAGATACGACAAAGGGGAAGCTATTTCTCTGGAAATAAAGCATAACTCACTGAGCCCAGCTTAATTTTTCTACTATTCCTTTTTTTTTTTTTTACTACTTTAAGAAAGGATAGATAAATGAAATGGTTTCCTAGCAACTGTCCCAGTTCTCATGCTATTTATAATGCAGCAGTTTTGTACAGTCAGTTCACCTACGTTACTATGTCACCAATTGTGAGTTACATGTAGGCTTTCTGGGGTGTGATTTTTGCCTGTGTTTAATGTTATCACTCCTTAATTTGCCTAAAGGCAATCCAGCACCTGGCTTCTCTGTACTTTGGTGTTGAGTGTCCTCGCTATATATTTCCCATTACCCCAGTACTGAGACCAACCTCTTCCTCATTCATTTTATCTAAATTTTCCAATTTACTGATATAAAGTTGTTTATATTTTTTATGATTTTTTAATTTGGAAATAATATCAAACTTAAAGAAAAGTTGCAAAAATAGAGCCATATTTTTTTTTAGTTTTCAGCATACCGATGTTTTACTTCTTAATAGCATTATTTTGATGCTGTTATAATTGGATTTTTTAAATTTTAAATTTCTGATAGTTCATTGCTAGAATATGGAAATGGAGTTGACTTTTGTATAATGGTCTTTTATCCTTCAACCTTGCTAAACTCGCTTATTAACGCTGGTCACTTTTGTGTAGATTTCTTATTAGAGTGGGTGTAAAGTAGACAGTTTCTCGGGTCTAGATTAGCCTTACTCCTGAGACAGGCTTTTCTAGGGTCTCGATTGGGTGCCTCGGGTGTTCACCCGAGTTTCTTCATTCCGGATGGTTGGAATTCATACATCTTTCAGCCTTGTGGGAGCTTTGTTACCAGTTGTTTGGTTAATTTTGTGGCAGCTTGTGCTGTATATATGTGCAGCTTGGAATTTAGCCAAGTCTCAGCTGGAGCCCTATAGTCATCGGTGTAGTTCTCTCCAACGCCAGCTGCTGCTGCTTCCCAAGGTCTGGTTTCTGGTGGCGAGATCCCAGTGCTTTGTTTGGGATTTCCCTCCCCGCACCACCGTTCAGAAAGCTCCTCCAAGCTGGAGCAAGTGATGGTGGGCCTGGCCTTGCTTCCTTCCCTTCTCTCAGGGAGGGCAGTGCTTGCTGCCTGTGGTCTGATGTTGCAAAGCAGCTGTTTATTATAGTTTCTTCCAGTTTAACAGCTGCTTATGGGGGCAGCGCTCTGTCGTGGTCAAGTATTGTTTTGAACTCTATCATGTCATTTTTTACTTCCTAGTTCAATTAAGCACCATCATCCTGTAAGTTCACAGAAAGAGGCACTACATTTTAAGCAAATAACAACGTGTAACATGATCTTGCATAAATTAATTTTATGCGAATGAAGCTTTAAAAATTAATTTCAAATTAATACTGTCACATTGATGATTTATTAATTTGCTAGACAAAGAATAATTACTCATACCCTGCGGCTCTTGTATCATACCCATCTCTTCTGCCAAATGGACTTCTCTGGGCTCCTTATTGGCTATCCTTGCTTTGGAGGTTTTATTCTCCATTCCTTCTTAAATCCTATGGAGGTAGAGTCTTTATTTTATGTCATAGGGACAATTATTATTATTTGGATTCCAGCTGCTGCTGCTTCCCAAGGTCTGATTTCTGTTCGGTGACAGTGCTCTATTGTAGATACAGCCAGCATACTTACTACATACTCGTTTAGTAGCGAATATAATTTTTATTTATAATATTTATTACATTCACTTTTATGCTAAAATATTATATTCACTTTTATTGTAAAATAACTTTGCATAGGCTTTCTGTCGGTGACTCAAACATTAGATGAATGATTGGCCTAGGTCACTTTTAATTCCCCTTAGACCTTGAGACCTATTATTCCACAGCAAATTAAATGCAGCAAGACTATCTTGAGTGCCATTGCAGTTGTATGAGAAGAAAAACTGTCGTTGCCTTTAAGGAGCTTAGAATTTCATTATCGAGATAATACCTGTGTGTGTGTGTGTGTGTGTGTGTGTGTGTGTGTGTGTGTACAGTTTAAAATCGTGTATGAGTAATTGCAGAATAAACAACACAACCCATAAATGCCTGGGATGTTAAGTCAGAAAATGACACGCGGCAGAAGTAGAATGGGAAGGAGCACCTCTTGTCATCGTGTGTGGGGGATGCCAGTAAAAGAGCCGTCCAAACAGGACAAAGGAGGACACATTAGCAGGAACGTCAGTGAAGAGACCAGCCCAGCAGTAAAAGCTGTTTGGTCTTCTTTTTAAAGATGTGTTGCTAAGTTATGAACTGTTGCAATGTTATCAACAATGGCATTTCTTTCTGCTCTTGCCAGCATGGCGTCTAGAGTTGGATGTTTTGCAAAACTAAGGTGCCAGCAGTAATTAGGCTTTAATGTTGCAGTAGAGTAAAATTTTAATGGAAAAATCCTCATTTGTATCATGAGCTACGTCTGTTTGAGAAACAGGGTGAACAGAATAGCCTTCTGAGGTCTGCCTTTTTGGAGCAGCTAGGTGTTGGAGAAATCCTTTCCAGCTCTGTAGCTCGTCTCTGTTTGAGTCTATAGTAGATTCTGGTCCTTTGTTCCTTTTGAGCTTGGGAGGATCAAGGTCACAGTGAGGTTAAGACTGTCTTGCTGTGTTGGTATTGAATCTTGCTCTTTTTTAATTTTTATTCTGGTGTTAGAACAGTAATTCAAAGTGGATTAATTATTTTTTTGTTAATATTGTTTAAATAAAATAAAATATAACAAGTATATTCCAGGAAAAAAACTTAGATTTCCTATAAAGTGAAAACAAAGCACTGTACTTTCTTTCCATTATCTATGACCTAAGTTATAGAATACTTCTATAATTTAGTGTGTTATTGACTGTGAAATATGTAAGAATGAAAATCCCAAATACTGAATTTCAGTAATAATTTTCAGTTGTAGAAATGTACATTAATAGTGCTTCATTTTATTTGGAAATATCAAACAAGCTGAAAATATGACTAAGTGATATATTTATTTTTTAAATTTAGAGTTATTTATTTTTAAATTTATCTTTATTGTTGAAAGTATTACAGATGTCCTGTCCTTCCCTCCCCACATTGACCCTCTCCATCCTGACCCCCTCCTCCCCAGGCCTTCACCACACTATTGTCTGTGTCCATGGGTTATGCATATATGCCTATAAGTTCTTTGGTATATTGAAAGCTTTTTTTATGTCTTCATTCAGATTTTCTAAAATCATTGTTTAAAAAATGCTTAGTAATCATGCTAAGAGTCTTTGGTATGTATATTTTCTTTTTGCCCTGGCTTATTTTTGAGGCAAAAGTGAGACTCCTGATTGAGAGTGTTCACTCAGGGGGAAGGTGGGGGTAAGGGGAGAGATCAACCAAAGGACTTGTATGCATGCATATAAGCCTAACCAATGGACACAGACACCAGGAAGGTGAGGTCATGAGTGGGGGGTGGGGGGGCAATGGGCAGGATAAGGACACATATGTAATACCTTAATCAATAAAGAAAAAATAAAAAGAACAGAAGTTGCAAGAGCAATGAAGGGGGGAAAGAAGACTGATAAATACAGCTTTGCTGTGGAACAGAATTCAGTGTGAGTGTATAAAATGTGTATCACGCCATAGAACTGCTTTGAAATCTATTCAGTACAATTTTTAAATGTTTCATACTTGATCATCTTCAATTCTGCATTAAGTTACTTATAATATTTGATGCCTGGAGAAACGTAGAAGATAACTTACGGATTTTTTTTCCTGCTTTCTGACCACCTCGTTTTTGGTCACTGCAGGGCCATTTCTGTAGCTAATGCAACATTTCCTAAGTTCCTCTAAAGGCCATAGTAAGAACCAACTAAATATGTTTATATGATTGAATCATTTTTATTGGAGAAAATAAATGGAAGCAAAGGAAATTTGGTTTTAATATTAGACAGTATAAGACTTTCTTCCCCTTTTACCTCATGAATGTGTAATTTATTCATTTTAACAAGGTAGAATTTGCTAATAAAACATATACTATAGTATATGCTTTCGTCTGAAAAAATTGTAATGAATTTTCAGAGCTTTTGGTGCTGTGCAAATAGCACATGTACTTCTGTGGTTCTTAGTGTCACTCTTTTTGTTGTTGTTCACTTTTGGCAGATCAAATAACACAAGAAGATATTGAAGGCATTTTACAGAAATTTACTGGGAATATAATGCAGGTACCTCCCCTGTAAGTTCAGTTATTAAACTTGAGTAAATGTTTAGCTTTATTTTTCAGTGATTGACATCACTTTAATTTAAAAACAATTTGCTTTTTTAAAATGTATGGTGAGACAGGTTTTAAATTTGGCATAGCAAATGATAATTTTGCCTCCAAGGTAAAGACTTAAACATTTTAGCAGGTGATGAATGAACATTGTTTTGGATCTTATTGTTGAAATAAATTAAACATATTTGTATTCACAAGAACTGTTTTAGAACTTTCTTCTCTGTGATTGTTCCAAGGGTTTTGTAGTCTAATAAAATTTTATCTCACATGGCTAAGATCTGTTAAGTAGATTGCTTGCTTATTTGTTTTTCAGGAACATTTTGATAACTTTTATCTGAAAATGAATATTATTGGAATGGAAATTGTTTCAAGGGAATATAGCTGAGATCCTTGTGACCAGAGGCCTTGTGCCCTTTACCCAGGATGAGGTCTAATGAGGACGTGACCAGACCACCTCCAGGAAGATGGTTAGAGAATAGAATTGACAAGGTTGCTCATTGGGCGCCAGACTGAGTCCTGTTTGTCTCAAAGATATTTACGAGCTTTACTCCTGACACCCTTGTGGAGTAGATTAGAAGAAATAACCAGTTCATTTTTCTTAGAAGGACTTGCAATTTAAAGGTCTGCTAGCCATCCTCTCCATGCTGTAATCTGGAATTAAATTCTGTCATTTTTTTCTTAATTCTTCTTTGTAAGCTATTCTGCATTAAAGAAAGATGGACAGAGACTTTCCACTTTGATGAAGCGAGGGGAAGTAGTAGAAGCAAAACCTGCCAGGCCAGTTACTGTGTACAGTCTCTCCCTTCAAAAATTTCAGCCACCATTTTTCACATTAGGTAAGACAGAGAAATTCAAAATCATTTGTATGTACGTGTACCTTTATTTTGTGTTCTGCTACTTTTGTGTGATTTTAATGGATCCCTAGGATATTGGAGAGTTTTAAAATTCAAATTTATGGAAGGTTAGGATTTGTAAATACCCTTTGATAACACATTTAATGAGGATACCTACAGCTGGAGGTTCAGAAATACCTTTCTAGCCCTAACCAGTTTGGCTCAGTGGATAGAGCATCGGCCTGCAGACCGAAGGGTCCCAGGTTTGATTCCAGTCAAGGGCATGTACCTTGGTTGTGAGCACATCCCTAGTAGGGGGTGTGCAGGAGGCAGCTGATCGATGTTTCTCTCTCATCGATGCTTTTAACTCTCTATCCCTCTCCCTTCCTCTCTGTAAAAAAATCAATAAAATGTATTTAAACAAAAAAAGAAATACATTTCTAAATGGGGTTTTTTATATATTGCATTATACTATCCTATATAATAAAGAGGTAGTATGCAAATTGGCCATCATACCCTCACACAAGATGGCCGCCCCCAAGTGGTCAAATATGGCCACCACAAGATCGCCAGCAGGGGAGGGCAGTTGTGGGCCAGCAAGCCAGCAGGGGAGGGCAGTTAGGGGTGACCAGGCCTGCAGGGGAGGGCAGTTGGGGGCAACTAGGCCTTCGGGGGAGGGCAGTTGGGGGTGACCAGGCCAGCAGGGAAGCAGTTAGGCGTCGATCAGGCTGGCAGGGGAGTGGTTAGGGGGTGATCAGGCTGGCAGGCAGAAGCGGTTAGGGGCAATCAGGCAGGTAGGCAGGCGAGCAGTTGGGAGCCAGCAGTCCCGGATTGTGAGAAGGATGTCCGACTGCCGATTTAGGCCTGATCCCTGGGATTGGGCCTAAACTGGCAGTCGGAAATCTGCCAAGGGGTCCCAGATTGGAGAGGGTGCATGCTGGGCTGAGGGACAACCCCCCTCCCCAGTGCATGAATTTCGTGCACCAGGCCTCTAGTCTTTCTATAAAGTTGTAAGTAACATACCTTAGATCTCTATGGAGAAGAGTAGGTGAGTATATATTTTCAAAATTTAATGTTTTAAAATTTATCTTATGGATACTTATTCCCCCATTTTGGCTAGTATCTGATAGAGTACCTTCAGTATAAAATCCATACTAATTTGTCCTCTTAAAACAAAGCATTTTTAGTTTTAGAACAAGACATCTAGGAATGGTGTATTTTTTTTCACCTTCTTTGTTACCTGCAAGTAACTGTTAAAGATAATGGAAATAATGCATGAGGCAGAAATGCATTATTGGACACAGGGTACATTTTAATTCAGGATATCAATTTGAATTTATCTAATAAATTTAAAAACCAAAAAGTTTGTTTTGCTAGTTTGGAAATTTTATGATCTCCTAGTTGCAGAAAGTAGTCGCTAAAGCCCTGAACATACAATAGCTATAGTTTGGGATTCTTAAGCTTCCTTGAATTGATCCTACTCTTAATTTCATGTTGCATACCAAATAGGATTCCTTTAATTTCCCAAAACTTTTTTTCCTGAGCTTTGTTGCTTTAACGTGTTATCCGTCAGAGTATGGTTTTTGTACAATTGAAAAAAGAAGTCATTCCTTTTCTTTAGTTTCCTGATTTTAAAATGTTTGACAAATAATGAGAAAAACACAGTCATAGATATTTTGTTCCATTCCATGAAAATGCAGCAGCTGGGTTGGCACAGGAGATATCATCTATGAAGTAAGAAAAACTCAAATTTTTCCGATGGCATTGAAGCTGTAAATGCTTCAGTTTGTCCACTGGAGGTTGTGATAGGCCAAAAGCGTTGTCTTTGCACCAAAGCCAAAAATAGTGCATGAATGTTGACCCACTTACATTTGATCTAGTGCTCATTTTTTATCTCAGCTCTGGTCCCCACCCTTGAGCTAATGGGAAAAAATAAAGAATTAAACTCTCTAGGTAGTAAGTTCTGGTTATTTCCCTTAAACGGCTTTATTTGTATGATATGACTAGAAGCAGCTGGAATACAGCATGTCTTGTGGATAAATAAAGATAATCCAGAGCCCTACTCTTAACCAATAAACTTGTGTTATGCCGCGTTAAGAAGATGTTTAAATATGCATTTAGTTTTAGAACATTGTGTAATTTTAGTTATTTTATGATTTCTTTCGGAATATTTCCAAGAAAACACTTAAGAATGCTGAGCTCCCATGTAGTATATTACCCCAAACGTAATCCCAAAAAAGGATTTTTGTTTATTTGTTGTAATTGTTGAGAGTACAAATCTGAAACTATTTTAAAAATCTACAGCTGATGATAGCAAAGCTGAGATGTCTAACCATTTCAAACCTATTAAATGAACAAGGCGTAGAAATCTGAAAATATTGTTTTAAATCTTCAGCTCATGATCGCAAAGATGAGATTTCTACTTAAAACCTATTACATGAACAAGGCTGAAGCATTAAGGTGGTATGACTGCCAGTTAATTTAAAATGTGTTCATGAGTTTCTGCTGTTTGCTTTCTCCACGTTCTGACTTTTCAATCTCACAAACACACACGCTGCTGGATGAATAATTTATGTTTTAGCACATAAATATTTTATCACCCGATTGTTTGCATAGTGCATTTTTACATTTGTTTAGAGGCATCTTTTCTATGTAAAGTGGATTTCATAGGAGGTTAGCAATTTACCATGTCATCGTTAACATTCCAGATGTTGAGTGCGGAGGAGGTTTTTATATCAGAAGCTTGGTCAGTGACATTGGCAAAGGTAAGCAGAAATGTATTATGAATTATCGTCTAGAGAGTAATATCCCTTTTTTGATGAGAAGAGGGAATTTCCTGTTTGTCATATCTTTGAGTACTGGCCTTATGATCTGCGCTCTCGCTGCCTCCAGTTTCGGAAGCATTCGAGGTTTATGGCACACGATTATCAGCATCGGCAGCTGCAGCGAAACATTTGTAATGAGAGAAGAGAGAGGGGGGAGCAGAAAATGACGATGGGAATAATGAATGGAAAGACCAACATTTTTTTCAAGCACAAAATATTTGAACCCAAAGCAGGGAGGAGAGAAAAAAAAGACGTATCCTTCCACAAGTTATTTTCATTGGTACAAGTCAAGTGTTTTAAAAACTGGAAGCGACAGTCTTACAAAGAGCCAGGAAGTGGCAGTCCTGGCTCCAGTGTTTGCTGGCAGTTGTGACACTGGACAGGTCATATTACTTCATCTGCCAAGCGAGAGTAATAGTTACCTCATGGGGTTGCCTCGGGGGTCAAATGAGACAAGGGTGTGTAAGTTCCTTGTGGACTTTAAAGCCGTTTATAAGGTGAGTTATTAAATACTATTTTGCTATTTAATCATTTCTTAATCCCAGGGTTCTTGGTTCTTGTGTTGGATTATTGCAACTTTACCTTTGGTGTGGTTTTGAGAGGTTTGCGTCAAGGTCTCTCATTTGAAAGCAGAGCCTGCCATAGGTGAATGACTTGTCCTGTGGGTTTCCTTCCACCTTCTGTTGCTGCAGAGCTCTCTTCCTGTGCCAACGTGCTGGAACTGACCCGGACCAAGCAGGGGCCTTTCACGCTGGACGAGCACGCCCTTCCCGAAGACAAATGGACCATTGATGACATTGCGCAGTCCCTGGAGCATTGCTCATCTCTCCTCCCAGCAGAGCTGGCGCTTAAGAAACCAAAGCCCGAGGACTCTCCGGAGCACGGTTTGAGCTGTGAACATATAACTCTGAATGAGACGAAGGGAGAAGACGGTGAAATTAAGACATGTTAAGATTGGCGTGGGTCGTCATTTCTCGGTTGGCATTTGAATCCCGTGTACACAATGGCAAGCTACGGGCAAAGGACAGTTTTTCCCTTTTTTTTTTTTTGGCACGAAAGAAAAATGTCCATCATTTACAGTTTCGAGAGGGTACAGTGTTATCTGCTATCCAGGATAAGGAGCCTTGCAGTTGTTCAGCTCTTTGCCGTACCATGGAATGTTCTGGAATATTATTATGTGGTTAGATTGGATTCAGGAAAATCAGCTTTCTGATTTTGATCTTGCTTCAAAGTCTTTTCCTGTGAAAAAGCTGAACACATTTTCTAATCAAAGAAAAATGACATAAGAGCTACATGTTTCTGTGTCATCACAAAAGTTCATGTAAATTAATGTCACTTTGACTTTATTTTGGCTCTCCGGTGACTCTGTTGTATTGAAATTCTTACACAATGTTAGAAAAGGCTGTTATTTAACTATTTTTATGTTTTGGAGAGTTTGCCATTATTAAGAACATTTCTTTGATAAGGATGCATTATTTGGTAATAGCCATGTTTGTTTAGGTCTTGGACATTAATAAACTTTTAAAATAAATGTTTATAATTATACCAAATTATTGCTGCTACCACTTGGGATGTCAATATAGGACTAAATGTTTAAATTGGCCTCTACCATTAGTACACAGGATAGCCCAGTGGCTTATATTTTGGGAACTATGAGATCTTTTTCTGATCTTTTTAACAGTTGACCACCCTGTACTATGTTAGTAAATAGCAGTTTTTAAAAAGTAAGCTAAAGAATGTATCTTAAATTAAAAATGTTTTTATTCTTTAGTATTTATTCACACCTTTGAAGGGTATTGTTTTTTAAATTTGCTTTCAAATGATATTTATAGCCTTAGAGATAGTCACCGTGCATTTCCAGCTATCTCTTTTGTTCTAAATATTTAAAAAGTTATTCTCAAACATTCTAATAGCTTATTGATGTCTGGCCAGTGTTGCTCAGTGGTTGAGCATCAATCTATGAACCAGAAGGACATGGTTCAATTCCCCACCAGGATATGAGGTCAGGTTGCAGGCTCAATCCCCTGTGTGGGGCATGCAGGAGGCAGCCAATCAATGATTCTCTGTCATCATTGATGTTTCTATCTCTCTCTCCCTTCCTCTCTGAAATCAATAAAAAAATATTTTTAAAAAAAGACAAGTAGCCTACTGAAAATTTTCTCTCCCTTGTTAACATAATTTTGAAAGCGAAGTCACATTACAAAATAGCAGGTTTTCTATGTAATGAGAGTTTCTTATTTTTGTTATGGAAGAACAATATATTATGCAGCCAGTTTGTAGAAATTAGAAATGTTTAAGTCCTGCTTCATTTATTCAAGAAGTATAGTTTCAAAAAGAGGAATCATTAAAAATTTTCATAACATAAGAGTGTCTTGATTTTTATGGATTCCATTTCTTTTAAGGTAGTTGCCTACTTGCAACCTTTAACTTGAAAATTTTCAATATGAAAACTAACATGATTTTCTTTATGGCTAACCTATTAGAAACTCCATATAAAAATGTATATGCTTCAGGAGAGTATTTTCATCACATTAGCCACATATTTTAAATGAAAATACTAAAAGTAATTCCTAGTATGACACAGAGCATTATAAGGAAAAGAGTTTGATATCTCAAGGTATTAACCTAAAATGCCAAACACACAGAGTTGTAAATTCAAAGTTTACAGTTTTATTTATTCCTATCTAGTGCCTTGCAGATTGTTAACCAAAAGTGGCAGTGGCTGCTCGTCTGTTGGAATGTGTTCACACACTGCAGTGAAGGTCCCAATTGAGGAATAAGGTCCCTATTGAGGAACATATACAGGGGCATTTCTGTTCTACATCTCAAAAATTGACATGTATGATTTACTAATGGAGAAGAGTAGAGATTATTTGAATAGGCAAGTGACTTTAAAATAGTAATGATCTTTTTCTTTTATATTGAAAACATTGATGAAAATTGTGCCAAGTGGGAAAATTCCCCATAATCCTCACCATCCCTGTGCACTGACTTCAGAACTTTAATTTTGTATTAATATTTTCCCTTTTGTTTGCATAATTACAATCTTAAAGTACCTATTTCTTTTTAATTGGCTGGGTTTTTTTTACTTCATTTTATTGGATATGTAATTAGTTTTGATCATTATTATTTTAATCATATGACTTCATATTCAGTTTATTTAAACTATTTTCTATTACTGAACACTTAAGTTATTTTTTATTTTATTAGGATAAATTCCTGGGAGTGGGATTAGTAAGTGGGATAATATGAACAATTTTACCATTCTTAATATGTTTGCCTTATTGCTTTCCCAAAGAGATGTAACATTTTAGTGTCGCCATTTCAATATTATCAGTTCACTAAAAGTTTACAGCTTTTTAGGTGGGGGTTTGATATGTTGCTGCTAATTTAGTAAGTATAAGAGAGAGTTTAAAATTGCTCTAATTTGCTTTTATGTGGCTTTTCGTGTACCTTGTTCATTTTTATAAATAAATGTCTTATGGTTTCTTTATACATTTGTATGAGTTATTTATGTAGGTAATACTTGGTAGAAGTATTTTCATGGCCTTTGTGTTGTTTTTTTAATTTTATTTTCATGTTTCAATTTTTGCTATATAATTTAAATAATTCTTCAGATTTTATAGTTCTCATATTTATGAGTATGAATAGCTAAAATTTATTTAAACTTTAAAATAGTATTCATAGCTCCTTTAAGCAGCTGAAACTGATCAAGATGATCTTAACATTTTAAGGCTCATCCAAAAACAAATTAGTTTTCTCCCAAGAGTCTACTATTTAAGTACCAACTTTATTTTTCATTTTAGTCAAATTGTTAAATACGTGTTTCTTACATAGTTCTAGGCCTAGAAACTAGGAAGTGACTTCCTTTGTGTCTGAGACTCCCAGAATTCCTAAACTGTCATTTGGGGCCTTTACGAATTAATTACAATCTTAGTTGTTTTCATCTTACCTGCTTTTAGGATGCCTGCCTCTTCCTTCCATGCAATTTAGAACTGAAACAATTCATATTTCCTCTGAGTTTATTTTTCCTTGCAACCTCAGCTGTCTCATGGGCTCAAGAAGTTTTCCATTTTTTTCTCGCTCTTAGGGTGACAGTGACATTGTCTTGAAGCTTCCATCCGAAGTGCAAGCATAAACTTAATGCTTTAACATTTCCCCCAGCATTTATAGTTGCCAGGACGTTGAGGTTATTTTGTCCACTGATTTTGCTAGAAATGGAACTCTATATACAAAGAGACACCATAATATTACAGCTAATTTTATATCTTAGAAAATAATCTGTTGATCCATTAAGTAACATTTAATGAACTAGCAATCCTATAGTCAAGGTACTTTTTGACATTAGTTGACGTAATTCTTTTAAAATAAGTCAACTAAGGTGAAAAAATTAGGGCATAGAAAAGTAACTTTTCCCAACTCCAAGTTAATTCATGAGTAACTTAGAGGCTAGATATCTTATGTTATTAATAATCTTTTGGCTCACACAATTGGCTATATGATCTAAAGGTGATGATTAGGTGATTTTATTCCATATCATTTAAATGTGTCAGTTGTCAAAGATTTATGAGTGCCTTTGGGTGAGAAACAATGTATAGCAGACAAAAGTCTTGAAGACGTAGTCCAGCCTTTAAGAAGCTTTCACATACTTCAGATGGGAACTCAAGAAATGTACCGATAAAAAAGTTAAGGAGTGGTGCAAGAGACTCCCTAAGTGTCAGTGAGTGGTATTGCCCCAAATGCTAGTGCTATTTAATGGAGCAGTAATTAATTTCTGCAAACTTCTGTTGAATTCGTGAGAACAGAGGAGGGAGAACACAGTGATCAGGATGACTGCATTGAGGAGGAGCACCTTGAATAGTAGATACTATTCAAAGACTTAAGAGAAGAAAGAAGTTCAGGAGGAGAGATGGCAAAGATGGCAGTGTACCAGGCACATTCATGAAAGAGGAGAATGGTCAGGATGGAGATGAACATTCATGTCAGTATGTGATTACAAAGGCAGATTGGCGTTCCATCGTTTGGAACCTTGAAAGCCAGAATTAAGTCACGCTTCACATGGAAGCTCTACTTTTAGGCGATTAATTTGGCAGTCATGTGGCAAGAACTGAAGAGGCAGAAATACAGGGCAGGGAGCCCAGTTAGAACTGAGTCTGGGGCAGTAATCGGATTAAGGTCATAAAAAACTCAAAACTAGAATATTACTACATACTGGACATTTGAATGGACTGTTTGAAAATTGATGGTATTCGATAAATTTGAATTTTGGTATGAGTGGTATTTTCTTGAGCATTGGGTAGTTGGTGTAGTTGCCTCTGATAATGACAACCATGATGAGTATTCTAATGTGTTTTTTACAGCCTTGAGTTCCTCCATGACCAGACCGTGAGCCTCCAAGAAAGGATTGTGCTTTTTCACATCTCTCCAAAGAGTCTGGGATATAGTAGGTTTGTTGAATTTAATCTATAGTTACGGGTTCCCAACTATTGCCTGAAATGTTAAATTATACCCGTGGTTGAAAGGATGGGCTCTGGAGTTGTAGATTTTCCAAGTTCTGATCATCAGCTGTTAACATTAGGTCAGTTAATTAACTCCCCTAACCCCCAGTTCCTCATTTGTAAAGTGGGGGTATTAATAGTGTCTACTTTATAAAATTATAAAGTCTAAATTAGGTCATTCAGGTAAAGTGATGAGCATGATTCTTAGAACTGAGCAAGTAATGAACAGAAGTGAATGCCACATAGCTGATCTATATGTAAGAGAAGAATGAATCCAAAATTTTCATGGTTGGGGAGATTAAAAATGGCGGCAGAGTAGGAGGATGCGCACGGACATGCTCCCAGGAACAAGCTGGAATTACAACTGAAATATGGAAAGGCTTCCTGGATAATCAATGGAAAACTCACAGGAGAGAACCCTGATACCCAAGGACCAAAGGTGGAGATAAATATATGATCTCATTCATTTATGGAAAATGAACAACATAAACTGATGAACAAAAATAGAGCTGGGGGGTGGGGGGAGGAGAATATACTAGAATATAATAGAAGTAATCCTGTTATTTGCAGATTTTTAATATTTCCTACAACTTTTGTGATATCATACTATGTCAGTACAGTTTTGGTAATATTATACTTAAAATCCTTTCATTCTTGAAATATTAATGTTTATTGCATGTAACATCATATTTAAAGTCGTTTTCTTGAGATATTAATGTTTATTGCATATAAAAAATATTTTGAAATAACAGGATACTGAAACATTTAAAAAAACACAAAATTCTCATGGTTTATGGACTCGAAGTATACGTTTAAAAAATGCTTTGTAAGACATTATTTTGGTAGACAAAGAGTAACCTGGAAGCAAAGATAATTAAGTGGTGCAACAGGCTTTTGATGCCAATTAAAAAAAAAAAATCTTTAGGGAATGTAGATGCTCACCTTTTGTATATTGAGTACTAAAGTATATTTAGTAGACACAGGCATACATACCATTAAAGTGAGTAAACCCCTTTCACTTCCATCATCTCACTTGACCAGCCAACAATCCTGTGAAGTAGGAAGGATGGGTCTGCGTCTTATTTTGGTGAAGAACTTGAAGTGGCCTTGAGTACTAGGTAACTTGCCATGAGTCACATAGCCAGAGTGGCAGAGCTGGGTCTCTGACTCCAAAAGGCTATGTGTATGACATCTGGAGAAAAGTGATCGGAAGCACAGATGTTTAGTGGGAGGAATGAAACACTTGCTGTAATGCCAAAAAATAACTGGAAATAAAAGCAGAAAACAAGACATTTGTTTCTGTTATAATATGACAGAAAAGAAGGCTCTTGTGGTTTGGGATTGAGCATTCAGAGAAGAAATGGGGAGACCACTCTTGGAATACGGCATCTGCTTCTGGCTACTCATGACTGGGTTTATGGAAACCAGCTGGATGATGTTCAAAGAAAAACTCCAAAATGATTAAGGGGCTGATGGCATTGATTAATAAGGAAAGCTTGAAAGAATTAAATGTGCACAACTCAGCCAAGCAAAGACTGAGGAAAAACAAGGTAAATGTATATGTTTTTTATAAATATATGAAATGTGTAACTATTAAAAAAGGAGATTAATTAATTAGCATAATGCATGGGGGTATACTAAGTAGTAATTGGATAAAAATTTAAGCTGAGTATAAAGAAAATTTCCCCGATAGTTTATTAAGGTTTTCTGTGGCATAGCCTTTTCCTAGAGAAACCATAGAAGTATCAAGCCTTAGAATTTCTAAAACCTCCCTGGGAACTTGGTATTAGATGATGTTAGAGAATTATTATTAATTTGGTCAGGTGTGATCATGGTATTATGCTTATGAAAGAACATATTTTTTTAGAGATACTGTGAAATGTAGGGACAGAACAACATGATGTAAGAGATCTGCTTAACAGTACTACGGCAAGGAAAGGAGAGGAAGGGAGAAAAACAAAGGGAGAGAGGGAAGAATAGGAAAAAAGAAAGGGAGGGAGAGAGAATGAAAAAAAAGGATAGATGAAGCAAGTGTGGCAAAAGGTTGATCATGTCGAATCTGAAAAGAGATCCTATGTGAGTTCATTTTCCTTTTTCCTTTTATGTATGTTTGGAAACGTTTATCATAAAGAATGTAAATTACATTTTCCTGAGCAAAGCTCAGTAGTGTATTAATCCTGGCTTCCCTGATTACTGCCACACACCAGACCAGGGCCCATGATAGTAGGGATACGTTGCCTCTGTTTACCATCTCGCTCTGGCGATGTCGATTGGACTGGGCTAAAGGATTCTTCTAAAACTGTAGGTAAGACTCTAACAAAATCCTTAGGCCCACTGGAAGAGGGATTAACTTATAAAGGAAAGTGAAAGATTTCAAAACCTAGCAAACATCTATGAAACTCAAGTTGAAAAAAGATAAGATTTTTTTTAAAACTACCTTCTCTCCATTACCTTCTCTTCTTGCAGGTGAATGTTTAGGGCAGGAGATTTAGGGAGCATTTGGAATGTATGTTCTACCTGCTTTTTTGTTTGTCTGCTTGCTTGTTTGAGGCATATAAATATTTTCTCTGAATATCACCGTTGGCAATCAAGCAAGAATACAGACCCAGCATCTCAGACCTATCACATCTGAATTTCTCCAGAGTACACAGGCTAAAAAAGAGCTCAGTATAAGGATGGAGCTGTTTGAAAATGGAGCAGAGGCGGAATGGTGGATAAGCTTGGTTGAGTCTATCTCATGACCAGACATCCCTTCTCCAGCCCAGGGACTCTGTCTTAGCGCAGGCCCTTATCATCTCTTACCTGGGTTACTGCAGTAGCCATAACTAGGCTTCCGTACCTCCAGTCTCTTCCCAGTGTCATCATCCTCCACCTTGACCCCAGAGTGGCTCTTCTGAAACACAGCTGATGGCGACATTCCTCTGTTTAAATTCTTAGCATCTAGAGCAGTGGTTCTCAACCTTCCGAATGCGGCGACCCTTTAATACAGTTCCTCAT